GGTGTTCGATTAACTTTCAGTCATTTGGACAATACCGACTGAATAAATACGACGTATTTCATCATCGCCCGGGGGAGGTCGTTTGACAACAATTTGCCTAACATCAATAATATATTAATGTTAATAATTCTCCGACAATCGTATGCTACCAGAATTCATAAAATCGCCTACATCATTTTGAAACTCGTTTCAAGAACTACATTGTAAACTTATCAAACGATGCAAATGAATATCGAAAATAGTTAGACATGAGTCAAACGCGCGTCTTAAAAAGAAACGTTTAATTCGTCTTTTCTTTAAAAAAAAATCAAGTTTTATTAACGTTTATTATTTTTACGCGACAAATTCTCAATATAATTTACATAATTTTATTAGAAAACTTTATATAAGGATACGACGTCAAAAAAATTTCAATCGTTAGAAGATTTGACTGCAAGTTTTGCTCCTTTCAAATTGTAGTGGTATAATAATTTTTAAAGAAGCAATTTGATTTTATATAGCAGCAAGGACCGAACTAATGATCGACTTCAACATTGTGGTTGGCAAACTAGCAATAACTTTTTTTCAAGTTTGATATTGATAAGTATAGTTTCTACACTTATTCGAGATCCTAAATGATGATATTTTATTGTCATTTTGATAAAATTTTACCTAATTTATATCATATTGCATTTTTGTAGGTAAAACTTTATGTTTGATGAAGAATTAAAGAAAAGAAGTGAAAATTGGTGAAAAATGCAAGATCCAAAGTTTAGGGACTAAAGTGTAAATACTCAGAAGTTGTGCCGAAACTCATGATGAAGATTCGAGAATGTTAGGGGTCAAATTGATACAATTAGAAGTCAAAAGGAGTGAAATATGATAAAAATATTTCACAAATCAATTTTCAACTGCACAAGGATGTTCTAGATTTTCAGTTGGAGATTGAGACCCATTTGTGGCCCAGTAAACGTTCGAATTGAAAAGGAGCTATTTTTAGCAAAGTTGTAGCCATTTGAGTTATCTTTCCAGCACATTTTGAATCGTCTTAATCGGATATCGGGAAAAAATGTTATGACAAAAATACTGAAGTAGGAGCAAAGTTCGGACAGCGACTCAGTGCCCAGGTGCTACGAAGAGATAGCAGAAACAGAAAAGCAGCGCCCAGGTGCTGCATTCATAGTGCCTAGGCGCTACATAGGAAAGGAATGTGACGCCTAGGCACTGCGCCGCCTGTTTTAGGGTTATGATGTTTAGGCCCTCGAAAAGCCAGAAATACTCCAATTTTTGGAAAACCGTGTAGGAAAGAATAAATAGAAGAAATGAGGAAACTTTTAGGGGTTCCACACATTGAGAAGACAAAAATACAATGAGCGATTAAGAGCACAATTCAAATGAAGAAAATATCAAGGAATTCAAGCTTTGAAACAATGATTGGAAGAGGAAGAAGATTTTGGTGCAGACTTTATTTCTTTTTCTACATCTATATTCAAAATCCGGTGATGTATTCAATAACAACTCTTTGTTTTTCTTCTTCATTTATTATGAGTAGTTAAACTCTATATTATAGCGAATAATGTAATCTGCTTGAAACTCTTTATATCTTTTATTCAAGATTCTTAGTATTTTATTTTTCATATATTGATTTTATTATGAGTTTAATGTATTAAGTTACTTGATCACTAATTTGATGACTTTGTGAGAAAACGAAAAGTAATGTACTATTGAAATAATTAAATTGCAGCAGAGTTAAAATTGTCCAGAAAACGATTCACATTTAATGCTATATTTAATATATTATAGATATTCATCGATTCAAATTAATTAAATTCCATATTCATGAATCAATTTGATTGTTCTTGTACAATTCAATTATTTATTTGAGTGCATGTTTAATAATTAATATTCAATTAAATATATATTGGAAAACGAAAAGTGAGGTACTATTGAAATAATTAAATTGCAGTAGGGCAAAAATCGTCCAGAAAACAATTATCATTGATGCGATATTTAATATATTATTGATATTCATTGATTCAAATTAATTATATTCTATGTTCATAAATCAATTTGATTGTTCTCGTACAATTCAACTATTTATTTCGTGCATGTTTAATAATTAATATTCAATTAAATATATATTGGAAAACGAAAAGTAAGGTACTATTGAAATAATTAAATTGCACTAAATCGTCCAGAAAATGATTATCATTGATTCGATATTTAATATATTATAGATATTCATTGATTAAGATTAATTAAATTCCATGTTCATAAATCAATTTGATTGTTTTCGTACAATTCAATTATTTATTTACGTGTATGTTTAATAATTAATATTCAATTAAATATATATTGAAAAACGAAAAGTAAGATACTATTGAAATAATTAAATTGCACTATGACTAAAATTGTCTAGAAAAAGATTCTCATTTGATGCGATATTATAGATATTCATTGATTCAAATTAATTAAATTTCATGTTCATGAATCACTTTGATTGTTCTTGTACAATTCAATTATTTATTTGCGTGCATGTTTAATAATTAATATTCAATTAAATACATATTGGAAAACGAAAAGTAAGGTACTATTGAAACAATTAAATTGTAGTAGGGCTAAAATCGTCCAGAAAATGATTATCATTTGATACGATATTTAATAGATTATAGATAAATGGTGGTGGTATACTTTGCTTCTTAAATCCTGGGATTGCCTATATATTGACATTGTGTTGACTCTTGTCTATGACTAGGCTAAGATCTCAAGTCCCAGGATGGCCCTACTGCTTTGTCTCATCCCGACCATATCTCACTCTATTCTTGCCTTCTTTGACAAGAACGTAAGCCTTCTAATTGGACAATGCTTACTACTAATCTCAACAATGGTCTTTTTCATTCTTTCCTTTAGAGTTTAATTTAAGTAAAAAGGGTAAAATTATCCTTTTAAGTGTCATTAATGGAAAAATTGGACGAAAATCATCCGGAGGGACCATCAATATGAAAAGTTTGGCGATGATTTGTCTATTTAAATTTATTTGGATGAAATTGTGATAAATTAAAAAAGATTAGGGACCTATAGTGTAAAAAACCCTCAAATCTTTGAGAAATTATTGAAAATACCCAAAATAAAGCAATAGCCTTTCCAAAATACCTCATTTCACTATTCAACCATATAAACTACCTAAAATACCATTAAAAACAATAATTGCAACTAAAGCTTTCAAGCTAAGAAAAGAATACAAACAAGTCCTATATTTTAAAATGAATAATAAAAATT